GAGAACGGGAACTAAATAAGGGAAAGGGGAATGGTGAAAGTACACCGGGATGCCGTCAGTAGAACAAATCTGACTGCGGAACGGATTTCTTTTATGCTGAATTCATCTGGACCTATGGTGTAGGTTCCGGGTTTCGAGCGGGGAATATTGTTGAGGAAATTGAGAGATTAGCGATTCTAATGAATCGTGTTCTCCGTAGAGATAATACAGGCAGGGATGAGGAGGGGAGAATTCCTCCAGAAATTCCACGCTTCCAGTGAAACTTACCGGGGAAGAAGACCGTAAGTCGCCCTCCAAGTCCACAGTCTCGATGGAACTTGCGAGAAAAAGAGCGCGAGGTTCCTCTGGAGGAGGTATTGGAAAGTATAAGACCGACGGAAGAGAAAATGTTGGTGAGGGGGTTCGTAAGGGTGTATCTGAGAATATTCTATAAGTCAAATCAGATGATGCGGAATGAGGACGAGAGGGAATTTCGTCGGGAGGTGAGGAAGGAGAGTTAGCCGGAGGAGCGGGCGGTGACGGAGGCTCCGAAGGCTCCGCGTTCTTTGGTCTCTTTATGAAATCCTTCAAGGAGTTTAGCTACTCCTGGTAAGCCTGATCGAGGAGTCTCTGTGCTTCTTGCCTTCGGCGACAACGGGTTGCTCGCGAGAAGCAGGCGGGTTGAAGGGAAATTTAAATTCAGTCTGTAACGTACTGAAGACGGGACTGATTAAAGATAAGTCAACTAATTAAACCCCGTTAAAACTATAAGAAAGTGACTTACTATTTGAAAATTGAATTTAGGAGAAGGCTGTGGACTATGGAGGTTGGCAGGGTCTGTGTCGGCTGAGAACCAGGCTCTCGAGGACTGTCTAAGCACCTTTCGCTCTGTCTTCCTGTCTCGTAGAGGGTTGATGAAATGATCTCCGAAGCGAACACTTGGTTAAAGACGCACACAGATTTTAACTTCTAATAGCAAAATGTCGGACAAGGTGTCAGGGTGACGATCTATTGAACGAATGCTGAATGCTGAATTCTGAATGCTCTTGATACTCCTAGAGAATATATATCAGGAGCCCGGTCCAGCTCCTCTGTTTTCGGTACAACTTCTGGAAAAAGGGTTATTGCGGTGACTCATATCGAAAGGGGACAATCAGGTCCGGCGCAGATTCGTGCAGCGTTGACAGCCGACAGATAAGATCCTTGCTTAGTTTGACGTGTGGCGAATTTATTAACGAATTTTTATCTCTTGGAACCGGAAGGGTCTTTTTTCCAAGAATTCATACGTTTGAACTAAGCGACTATCTTTTCTATTTATTTAATTGTAGGATAATGGGGTTATTGGCGAATGATTTTTCTAATTGGCGGTTACCGCACGTGCTCTTCTTAGAACACAGGAAGTCTTAAATCTAGTGTATAATAAAAATAGTCATCGTTAAGATCGACTTGCCGGTCGCGGAACTTTCCACGAAAGAGAAGAATCATGGAATCAGGACGTAACAATAAAGTGTAAGCATCAATGTAGCTGACTGATAGATATTATGCTGAGAACAAAAAAATTTTTTTATTTAGATTTCCGTTACCTTTTCTTAGTCCAATATGGCGTCTAGAGCTGTCAACGTGTGCCAATATAACCAATATTTGCTTCGCACAAAAATTTGGCAGTTTGTTGGTACAAAATAATACCAGCCTGAGCTGCGAATTACAATGTATAAACAATGTTGAGTTGATAAAATTAGGTGTAGATGCGTAATAAAAAAGATGTATATGCTTAAAAATTTGTTACGATGTGTGTGCACGATATCAATATGGTAGTAAACGTGAACACATCACTACCCAGCAAACACAGATACGTAACTGTTATATTATCGCCATAAATTAGAATGTAACAGAAAATATAACGTTCACGTTATACACAACATTTACGTTAGTTGTTATTTCCCACTCATAGGATGTTGCAGTTACACAATATAAATGTAACATGTAATTTGCTGCGTTATATTACTGTAATGATATTGTTAGTGTCATTGTAATTTTAACCAAAGATTTATCTTTTGTACATACAAATCACAAAAAAGATTCTTAAATTAGTTCTAAGCGAATTTAAACGAAAGTTTGTTTCGTTCAGTTTTGCTTAGAATTAATTCAAGGAGCCTTTCTGACAAGGAAAGGAACCCAAGTGTCCCCCTCCGATTACGATGAGCTTTTGATATGTTATTCTCTAGACAAAACCAAAAATTAAGCTACCGCAGATTCGTGCCGCTTCGCGCTTTTAAGGGGTGAAATACCCCTTAGAAAAAAATCGGTTTTTTTATTTCAATGCGAATATCGTCGAAACTAGGAGAGATAGAAAAAAATGTTTCGAATAAAAGTTGAATGGCTTTAAGAGTACTCTATAATTATAATTAAAAATAATTTTTTTATTGCTTAATTTTTTGTTTACCCCCACCACCAAAATTTTTTTTTAAATTTTTTGAATTTTTTTTTACCACATTAAAGGTTATTTTAATACGAATTCAACCATGTGTGACAAAGTTGTTTTCCGAAGTATCATTTTCGAGAAATAATTATAAACGCTTCTATACGCACACCATCCGTGCTCGTTTACGCGGTGTGCACGCAGCACGGTCTGCTCGCATTTTTGCATTTAACAAGGAATAACGATGAAGCAAATCTATTTCCGCAATATTCTGCGGATGTATAACTATGAATCATTTTTATCACGTACGGCTGAACAACGCTTACGAAGCATTTGAGTATCATATAAGTGTCAAGTTAAACCGATATAAACAAATCTATTGCGGAAACAGTCTGTTTACGTCTAATCACAGAGATATTTTTGTTCGAGGAGTTTCTCTGTTAAAAAAAAATCGATAGAAAACGATAAGAACTAATATAGTATCTGACAAACATTTTATCGTGTCCTATCGTATCTATCGTTCCACTTTCTCTGTTCCGAAAGAAATTGTTATCGTTTCCTATTGTTTTCTATCATTAGCTGATAAAAACAATTTTAATCAGATCGGAAGAGCACACG